TGCTTTTATTTTAAACGTGACGCGACTCGAGACTGATAAAATAGTCGAGAATTGGCCCGAGGGAAAATGGGCATTAACGTCTTCATTTCCAAGGCAGTGGACATTTCGAAGTCGAGCAGAGAAAAATGATGTTTACCTCCACGTCTTTTAATGTTAGTGAATTCCTGAGAGAAGTCCATGTTTTTCCAGCTTTCCCGTGCCATTTTACTCCTCGTTGGACAGTGTACTGATAATGTGCCTTTTCCAGAGGGTTATCATCGTCCACTTCTTTATCTTTTTTGTGGTATCTGAAAAATCGGGAAGAGCAAGTCGGATTAATCAACTTTTTCCCCTTTTGTAGAGTTGCGATACATTATTAATTTTCGCAGGAAGATAAGGTCCATGTTATCGCACAGTAAGGAAAAATTCGTTGATCGAATTTTGCCCCAACTGGGATAGTTTGTGCATGATTTGCTCCTCCATCCATTTACGAATTCAAATGTAGTACGGTATTCAATTGAACCTGGCTAACTTAAACCTCCCGAAGTCGAAAATATCCACACGTTAAACTCGAATTTTGTCTAGTTGTCTTTGTCTTAATTGTCTTTAGGATCAATAAATCAAAAGCGTCCCCAACTAAAAGGTTTTTCCCTAAACCGTCCATAAATAAATTTCCTCGAGGCCTTCGGGCTAAAACTCTAAGGAACCCAGGAGAGAGAAAATCAGTAAAAATGTAAGGATGTTTTTCGTAGGGAAGTGAGCGACTCATTGGACAAACGTAGCCTTATCTAAAAATTTAGCATCCGGTTAATTAATGCACAGAGCACTAAACACATTCACAAGAGCCAAAAGATACCATATTTACTTGAATACCACACACACCTTTTTATTTCAGTAATTTGGAACGAAAAATGAGTTGCGCATCATTTTAGTCGGGTACAAAGTTTCAGCGGACATTTTTCAACAATCATAAATTTTTCTCCCCAATTCCAATTTTTTCGGAATTCTTAATTTTAAAAACAAAAATGTGATCACAAATTTCAATTTTCGAATGGGTTCCATCCAGATTTTCAACCAACAGTTTTCCAAATATAGTAAGATCTGTGGTAACTAAAACCTAAGGTGTGCATCTTAACATTCTTCACAAAATTGTATCCAAAATCGTTGGTGCTCGTCTTACTCGGGGGCGCGTGTTACTCGAGTAAATACAGTAACTTATTTTATCTTCCTATCATTCTTCAAATTGTTTCCCCATTAAAAATGCTGGTTCAACTCAAAAAAGCTGCGTCAACTTTTCGTTCGCGTCCATCTGACCTTGACCCGAAGAGGTTCAACCGCATAAAATAGAGCTAATTAAATATGATATTAAAAAAATCATTTCAGCTGTATTCCCCTCGCAATGCCGAACAATCTTGGCTAAAAATAGAGCGATTCCGGGATAATTGCTTGCTTGGGACACGTAGAGTAGAGAGGTAGATTAAACATAATTCAGATTGATTACCGTACTTCAGTATACAGTACTACGAAGTACAGTATGTAAAACAAACAGATGCGCTACAAAATTCTCAAGCAACACGGACGATCAACACGAACTTTTCTTCCTGCACAAGCGTTATATCAACGGTACCAGACCTTCGACTCCCACAACGCACCTGAAGACACTGGTGTCACACTCGTCCCACAGCCGTATGTCTTCTGAGCCGGTCCACCAATGAACCTCACAGGGAATGGGCAAAGCCCCCATTCTCAAAAACTTAAACATAATTCAGATTGATTACCGTACTTCAGTATACAGTACTACGAAGTACAGTATGTAAAACAAACAGATGCGCTACAAAATTCTCAAGCAACACGGACGATCAACACGAACTTTTCTTCCTGCTATCAGACCTTCGACTCCCACAACGCACCTGAAGACACTGGTGTCACACTCGTCCCACAGCCGTATGTCTTCTGAGCCGGTCCACCAATGAACCTCACAGGGAATGGGCAAAGCCCCCATTCTCAAAAACAAAAATAAAATCACAACCCTAGAAAAAAATCAAACGTTAATTTACCGTGCATCAGTACAGACATGCATCGAAAAATGAAAATAATGAAGACGCATGGACTTGAACACAAAACACGGCTTTCACTGCGCTCGCACGTATCGTACACAAAAATTGAATCACTATTTGGGTTTTTGGATATCTTGGAGTTGACTCTTCAGTTCCAATAGTTCGAAATCAGGCACCATTCGAATTTGTTCGTGTTCCGGCAAATGCTCGTGAACACTCAGTTCAACTCCTGGAGGCAACGTTCGCTTCAGCAAGCTCAGCATTAGGCCTGCTCTACACGCTGGCAGATTCTCAAACTGAAAAAAAAACACACAATTGCAAATGGATTAAAATTCACCAAGTGAACCTGATAGTGTTAAGTTTCCTAGCCGGCAGTTGAATCAACAACGAAAAAAGAGATCACACTGTACGAGCACCCACTACCGAAAGCAGCAAAAATACGAGTTTAAATACAAATACAGTACTGTACTGTAATTCAATTGCCGTAAAATCTCTTCATAAAGAATAATCGCTCAAAACGAATTCACTTGGGCCCATGCACAATAGCCATAATTTGACATGACGTAAAAAAAAATCGTGACAATATTATATAAGCAATTATATAGGTCCCAATAGCTTCTTGTAACGAAATTTTACTGTACAACAAAAAGCGTTGCCACGATTTTCTCAAATGAATTAAATACTGCGCATGATCCCCCGAGTAGAGATTGCTTTTTTCACATCAGAGTTTCAAGTAAAAACAGGAAATAAGTACCGAAGTGCAAAATCTTGGATACATGCAGGCGTAGCTAAAAACATTTTTTCCCATCATTAGTTTTGAAAAATCTCTTAACAAATTAGTCATGACAACAAACAATTTCTGATGCCCCCTCCCCAAAAAGTTCGTCATAACGAGATTTACTCTCGTGTACTTCATTAAACGCGGAATCTCGAAACAGAGGAATGTCTCTTCTCACATTTCCCTCGAAAAACTGAAAATATCGTGACAAACCGAGGAAGAACACATAGCCATTCGCGATTTCGTACTTTCACAAATTCAACCTGATAAAAATATCAAACTGTTCAACTATTTCGTTGAATACCTATATTAAAAATAAACTTCAAAGCATCTAAATTGAATCGTAACGCAAACACCAAGCGAATGAATGAAAATAAAGGAAAACAAACCTGAACATTTCGCTCATACTTCGTCAGATTCAGCTGGTCAACAACCTTGTTAGCGTCACTTACGACATCTACGCGGTACTTCGAAGCAGGAGTCGCCCAACTGGAAAATGGATCATCATTCACTGAAAGAGAGCTAATTAGAGGGAATATTTATACCTGTCATTCACGCTCACTCCGAAGTTTTCCGCTAATTTTTCCACGTACTTCTGGTACGATTCTAGGACTCGGAAGTCATATCCCTTGAGTTGGACATTCACCAGGTCGTACTGGGGAATCGACGGTTTCAGCGCCTCGATGAGAGAATAAAGGAATAAATTTTGAAGGACATTTAAAATTTACAATTAAATAAAAAGAGAGAACACCGAAATCGAATACGTTCTTACCCGAAAATAAACCATAGTTACTATCAGTAGATTCAATCTAGAAGAGGTTATGATATTCACTTAATCTTAGGACACGTGATTTCAGTGCTAGGAGTCGAGCAGAAATTTGAGGTACAGCAAAATTACAATTTTCAATGCAATTAACTCGGTGCATTCAAAAAGATGATCAAATACCATGGAAAAAAAGCACTGTCCTTTAATATGCTTTACAAAATCCATGCTTTCATATGGTTGAATATGCTATTATTCAAATAATGTATTCAACCAACATAAAAAATTATTTCCACACTTCATCAAAAGGGCAAAAAAGCATGGTCAAATAAAAATTTCACCGGCAAATTTGTTCTTTCTAACCACCCGAGAAAATTTATTGAATGCACGAATGATTGAAGCCTTTTCATTTTTGAAGACGCACAGTGCAAAAAGTGTCTGGATTTAGCTAAGCAGCGTCCGGGTTTGGCTACACTCCACTTTAAAATTAATTCAGTCATTTGCAAATTCGCAGCAAAAATAATTGACAGGATGCAGGGCAAAAAAATACTGCGAAAACTCACTGCTAAATATTCTGGCTCCCAGTTGGATTTTCTCGTGCATGTGGAGGAGAGTAATCTCCGTGTTTGAGGTAAGATTTCTCGCATCAAACGAGAACACATCACGTAAGTTGGCATAGCTTTCCTGGAAGGAATGATTCAGATACAAAGAGCCAAGCAAAACAAACCAAATTGAGGATTAAAATGAAGTTCGCAAAAAAGATTCGCAGAGAATGCCTCATTTCTTTCGCTTCGGGAAACGGAATCGAAAACTGGGAAATCAGGCAACTCCAGCAGTTCACACGAAGTCCCCAGATGGTCAAAAACTTGGTGCAAAATCCGTCAAACCAACTGGCCCGAACTCACGAACTGACTGCTGCGGAAAGTACGTCAGGGTCCTTAGCCACCGAAAAAAAAAAGAATCCGGAGAAATCGAACATATCTCAAAGAGATTTCTCCCAAGGAAAAAAAAGGAAGTTATCGAGAGCTATTCGTTTTCCGACACCAGCCAAGTCCCTACATGCAATAAGAAGAAAATTTTCTTTCTCGGCAGCTCAATTCCGCCGCAAAACTGTCTAAATTTTTCAAACGGCTTCACGGCTAATTCTCTTTTCCTTTTTAAATCAAGCCCCATTTGCGCAACGTTGCTCTCCCACTCTCCTTTTTCTTTCTCGTTCTTCAAGATTGGAAACAACCGCGTCCGTCTCAATGACGGGGTCCAAAGTCGGATTTCTTCAGGGCGGCTGCCCGTTGTCTTGGTGGTTTTGTCCGAAGCCCATAAACTTATTTCCTCCTCCGCTGTTTCGGGACGACTCCAGAAGTTTCTCCAGCGGCGAAATTCCACCCCAGATTGACTGAAAATAGGTTGAGAATGCATGAAAGCGCCTCCCTAAACATTAAACGGGAGTTTACACCTATCTAAGGGCTATCTGCGAGCAATATACATAGCCATTCACTCCTAACATCATGAAGAAAATATCAATTCCGGGACCTTTGTTAACGCATAATCCATTTTCAGTTATGCAACTCATCGCCGTTTCCAGTGTCTTAAGAGACTTATTCTCAAGTGATGCTGAAATTAATTCACGTGATGTTTATCCACAGCTGCAAAATTCAAATGCGGTAATTTTTCCATCAGAAAGGGTCTTGTCTCAAAAATGTCAGCAACCATTTTAGCAAGATTACAAGACTTTTTTTTACAGATACTCGTAGTCAGTACATTACATCAATTGCATTTTTTTTAATCACCGAACAGATAAAGCTTCCATTTATTTGCATTCTGAAGTTGCGAACGAAAACGAGACGACTTCAGTAGTGTACCGTATTACTGTCTGTACATCTGGGAAAAAATACCATATTTTCTTCAATACCACGAACCCTCAAATAAGACGCGTACCCCACTTTTTCTTTTCTTCTGGGGAATTAGTTTTTTGGTCTGGTGGGATACAAAAATGCATTATTTCCTACATGAGACCGCACCCCAATTTTTGGGTTCAAAATCAAACAGAGCATTTCCAAACAGTTGGTCCAAATGGAATTGACCTTGCATTATTTTCAACTATAGAGAATCAATCAAAGTTTGAACCACTGGATTATCGATTTTTTTCTTTTAAAAAATGTGCTCACTTAAAAAAATACCCTCATACCACGCGCACCCCATTTCTCTGCCTCAGTTTTGCAGGAAAATAGGTGCGCGTGGTACTCGGGTAAATACGGTCAGTAATAGAATTTAAAAAAAAAATACAGCATCTTACTGTAGGTGGAGGAGGAGGAACAGGGAACAGGCCGTTTCCAATGCCGTTCAAAGAATTCCAAGCTGGCTGCATTTCATCCCCGCCGCGTTTCAAATTACTGCCAACGGCACTGCTTCCGACCGGAACTTGCGGAACTCTGTTCTTTCCGCTTCCCGGTGGGAACCCAAACAGAGAATATCCGTTGTCGGCGTAAGATGGCATTTGCAAGTTCCCAAACAACGTGTTTAATCCGCTCTGAAATTAAGAACAAGACGCCATAAGTACGAAACAAATGCGTACTTTTCAAGTTGTTCAAATAATTCTTAGCTGAAATCCTTATTTCAACAGGTTTCAAGTCGCAAACAAAAAATGTTGCTCATATCATGATTACATTCATTTTCAGAAACACACACTGATGACGAAAAGAGAGAATGTTCTTCGTTAAGTTCACATTTCTTTTTACGGTACAAAAAATGGGGTTTCCACCCGGAAAGTCGACGTGGAATCATTAATTTTCTGGAAAAATCTTTCTAGAAGGAAAGACGATATACCAGAGAATTGGCATGAATACAACTCATAAAAAGAGGAACTTTACTTTTCAATAGAATTTTTCGATACTTTTTCGGTGATCAGAAGAACACATCGTCCAAGAAGGATAGGTCACGTCATTCCTTATCCGAAAAACTTTACAGTATTTTGACAGAGAAACGGACGAATAAATATTGATACAGTGAGTCCCCACACAACGGAAGACTCACACAACGAAAAAACTGCGTTGTGAAAATGGTCACGGGGGAAAAGATGACTTATAAAACAACCTAGTTTAATTTGACGAAATGTTATGGCTGCGAAATCCTCGAATTTTGGCAAGTTTCAGACTAAACTTGAAAAATTAACAAAAATCGTGAAGAATTATTCAAGAATGATATAGTTATGACTTCTCTTGCTCTTGGAATTTGCGAAATTCAGAAAGTTACCAGCAAAAACTTGTCAAGATCACTTAAACATAACACTAATTAATTTTAAAATTCAAATATGTGCGCCAAAAATTAAGGGTAATGTGCAGTTATAGAATTTTTGAGAGTTCCTCGAATGCAATTATTGATTTCTTATGTAACCTCAAGAGAAATCGCCTTCCGCTTAACGGAAATTCCACTCAGCGAAACGCAGCCCGGAAGGGTTAAAATATATAAAACGCCTTTTTGACCCAGAAAGAGAAAATAAAATTAATATTGAGATCATGTGTGCAATGAGGAGGAATATCAACTCCCAATTTCAAAATCTTCAAATGTATTCAGCCTCGAAGAAAGAAGCGAGATTTTCTTCGCGTGACTCTGAAAAAAATATCCACTCCTCACTCATCACGTCAAGAAGAAAAAAAAAACTGACCGGTGGGAAAGGTTTGTCCCTCGTGATTTCGTTAGGTGGAAACAACGGCTGTGGCTTCGCATTCAAGCCCGACTCTTTCCCATCCGCCCCGACCATCGGCGGCGGCGGAAACCTCAAAAAATCTCCCGCATCCTGAACTTGCATGTTGAAATGCAACGGTGGCGGCGGACGCTGAAACAGACTCTCGAAAGCCTTTTCTTCGCCATTACTAACGCCGTTCTCGGGTCCAAACGGGAACCGCTGCCCGGGTCGTTGCGGGAACCCCTGGAAATCCTTCTGCACGTAATTCTCGCTAGATGGTTTCTTCACTCTTCCTGACCCGATGGCTTCCGGTTGCTTCGGACGTTGATCTTGGTTCCGCTGAGCGAATAATGCCGCTAGTGGACCGTTCTGAAGCGAGGGATTATTGAAGTGGGTGTTTGGCGGCGGGAACGCAATTCCTTGATAGGGTTGCATAGATGGAGGAGGGTTGTTGAAATTCTTCGGCGGAGGAACGAGACCGGTTGCGGAGTTGGTGGCGAAATTCGGCGGCTGTGTTGGAACCTTGCTTCGGGGTCCTGTTAACGAGGCTGCGATTTGTTGCCCGAATCCTGGACGAGGATAATTTCCCAAATTGCTCGTAGGTGCTGGAAAATGGACACAATATTTGACATGAGATTCGGGTATTTCAAATACTGACAGCACCCCTCAATTACGCGTGAAGGCACCGTCTTCATCTGATGGAATGAAACCTTTCTTCTAGCACCATTTCGGCTTCTATGCAACATTTCCGCATGCATTCAACATTTTCGAACTCAAGCATTATGGAATAATTTCCATATGAAGTTACAATGATTGTCACGATCATGCATATCACGAATAAACGCCAACAAAATGAAAACGGAGTTCAGTTCAGAATTACGGCATTGTACAGTATTAAACAAAATAAAAATTACGATTGAACTATTGATTCGATTCGTCTCAAACACTTCAACACATCATAAGTGAAACACCACGCATGTAGCGAGATGTTCTCATACCTAAAATTCAGAAACTTTTCCGAATCTCACAAATACTGCCTCATTTCAATCAACATTAATTATAATCAAATGTCCAGTCAGTCACCTTCAAATTGCTATCGTTTCGACAGACAGGAAACCCCATTCTTTTGCATCGTCGGCAAAAGGTCCAAGGAGGTTAAATTCCTCATGATAAATAAACTAATAATGACTACAATTTGACAGCCGGGAATCAAAAGCCTAGAAAAATACTTTCAAATGGCTGTAAATGCGTTTCAAATACCCAAAAAATCACATACAGGTGGACTCTCTCTATCTAACAATCTTGTCTATGAAGATTTTCTCTGTACAAAGAATACTTTTTAAATCTCATAGGGTTTTCCTCCATGTGAAAGGGTTTCTTTACAACGAATTATTTTCTAATTCCTTCAATTTCGTTGTGGAGAGAGTCCATCCACACTGAACAGTATTGACCGAACAACCCTAGAAACTGACCTTGACTTGGCATACGATGCTTATCAACATTTGACCATAGGCCGATGGCAGGTTCATTCCAACTGGTACCTCCATTCTGGGCTATTGGACTGCTGACCTGCAGCGATAATAAACGAGGAGGAACGGTCTTCCCTTTGGAATTCATCTCAGGTCCATTCTTCAGTCCATTCGCTTGACCATGACCATTCACTGCTCTGTGATCGTTCGAAACTTCCGGAGATGGTGACCGAAACTTCACCTGAAATAAAGACATGAATAAATGTTTCAAGTCAGAATTTCCCCAGACAGGTGAGCGAAAATCCAACAATTGTATAGTACACTTTTGAATTCAATGCAGGAAACCCACAAAACGTGGAAAAGTGCTACTGAGGAAAGCACGACTTCCCTCAATTCGAAATTAACAAGAAAGTATTTTTGACACACAAGGGCTCGGTAATTTTCAGTACCTCGAAAATTTTTCATTATGGCTATCACATACACACCAGAATTGTTTGCTTCATTACGTCACGAAACAAATCAACTTCAAGAAATTCCATTGACCTCGACTAATTTCGAGAAGATTTTCATCAAATGCTATTCCGAAATTCATCAATCGAAAATCGAAGTAATAAATATAAGTAATAATACGAAGCGACAAGAAACGAGCGATAAAACGAAGTTATGTCAGGGAATTTACCTGAGCTCTTAATATCTAATAACCTATCACGCTTCAATCGATGAGCTTTTGCCAATACTTCAGTCAGCTTGTGGGAAAAACAGCATCAAAAAGCATTCAATGACGAAGTGAAGTACTAGCGTACTGAAGGAAAATTGAAAACGATGCGCTAAGTTAATTTTTCCATTACATTTTTCCGGCAAGTTGCACGCGAATTATGCTGAAATTCTAACTTGCGCGCAAAAATTTACTCATGTCCGAGGCACGTTAGAGAGAATTTTAAGAATACTGCACGTACGAAGTCTTGATATCGATTCCCAAATTATCTGGAGGCTCTTTACTCAGAAGAAAGCCATAACCGGAATTCATGGATTTTGACGGATAAATTCCCACGCAATGATTGCAGCACCACAAGAAACGTAATAAACAAATTACCTGCTTCCCGTTATTTTCCATAGGCTTGGATGCATCCAACAACCCGGACTTCTTCATGATGGTATGCAGTTCAACATTATGAAAACCACCCCGTTTTCCCGCAAATCCCGGAACATTTGCATTGGCAGAATGCATCTTCTTCGCTTTCGGAACACTTTCATTCTCCTTCCCTTCGTTATTCGACGTATCCAAGCGCAGAATCCCAGGTGTTTTCACTTCAGGCAACGCAATCAATGTGGAAAGATTTTCAATGCTCGTCGTCGGAGAGGGTTCCCGAGATATTTGTAGCAAATTCGGTCCATCCCCTCTACATGCGTCGAAATGCCCGACAGAGTTCTTTTTAATGAACTGAGCATCCAATTCCGCCAGTTTCCCACCGAGGACTAAAATTCTCACAGCTCTTTCCTCATTGGATGCTGGAGATCCGCAAGATGCATTGCTCGGCTTTGAACCACGAAAATGAGCAAACGCGGCTTCTGATGGAAGAAAGCCTCGTAAATCCGATTCCTCGGGCAACGTTACACTGAAATTGGGCTCCCGAAAACCGCACTTTTCCTTCAATCGATTCAGAAGATGGCACAATGACGGCCACACGTGCGGCCGCGTCTTAAAAATGTCCAAGCGATCGGTTTTGTGATGCATCCACACCAGCAAGATATAAACGATAGGCAGAGTGAAATACTCTCGAGGATCCCGATCCGATTTCAGAGTATAAGTCGGTAGGATAGCTGCTATGAAAATGATCGCTAGATGCCCATGAATAACAGCTTGGTACTCATCTTCCCTAAACTTCTGCAACGCGTAAAGGTTCAACGTGATCATTTGCAAAAGCTTCTCGGCAGACAAACTCTCCGTGGCCACGAGGGGAGGCAATTGTGAAGCTAACGTTGCCGCGAGCAAAGCAAGTTGTTCTTCATCCACTGAACTGATCATCGCATGAAAACGCAAGAACTTGTCAATGTATTCATTGCCGGACAAATGATTTCGCTTGTTCTCTGGTGTTTCAACAAACTTCTCAAGCAATTTCGAAAGGTTCTGTGCTGCAGCGGGGAAAGGGAACCGAACAGAAAGACTCCTTGCGTGGAGACAACAGGCGGACAAAAGGTCGCTTTTGGCAGCGTATAATAAGCCAAGTTGGTTGAAGGGCTGGCCAGATGACGGTGAGATATCGGCAGCGTGTTGGTAATAATGCTCGGCGAGCTCGTTCTTGCTCTGGTAGCGACACACATCCCCGAGGTGAACGAGGCACGATTGCACACAAAATGAGACACTCCGAGGAATCGATTCCTTCAGCCGATTCAAGTCGAGTTGATGTACAGCGCAAAGTTTGCGTAGAAGTTGCGCGTAGAATCCGAGGGTGGAACTCAGATACCATTTCAAAATTGCCGTGCGTTGCTGGATCCTCGGGTTCTGCGGGCATCGAACAGATTCTTTGAACAATGTTCAATAATAATGAATAAGTTATAAAATAACAACCCACCTTCTTGTCCAGACATAGGGTTTGCAGATGCGTAATTTGCTGCCGAAAGCAAACAACCCATAAATCTTGCTCAACCCGCTTCTCGAGTGCATAATCAAGATCGCGTAAGATAATCTCCTCGTACAGCTTCTGCGTATCAAAAGTCATTCGTTTAGTACGGTGCAATAGTCTGATGAAAGTTCCGAAAACTTCCGGCTCTGAACTTGACGTGAAAATAATAAATCTTCAGGAATTCATACTCAATTTCGACTAGCAAATGAAGTCCGACAAAGCGCATGAATGGTCTCGAGAAAACGAAATTTAAGAACTTGGACAATATGCTGACGAAAGCAGTTTTCCATCTCGCATTACGTTCAGAGGTCGAGGATATCCTGCACCATTTTTGTTATAAATATAATTTCAGATATTTACCTGCAGAGAATGACAATGATTCCAAAATTTCACATCTTGCACGAATGGATTAGCCTTTTGAGCAGTTCCGAACCCGAGGAATATTTTTTTCAAGTTTTCTGCATCACTGTTGACATAAAAGAATGAAACATTATCATATGTAGTACTATAAATGTAGACAAAAAAATGGGCTAACTTACTGGAATTTCTTCTGAACCGTTTCGTCAGGATCAGACATTTCGGACACACTTGGGTCCAATGTTGCCCACGCTTCTGGGACATGAGCAATTTTGAAGCACTGAGCCTAGGAATGCCTTGGGTGGCTCAAGATCAGATTATACAGCAGTCCAATCGTGAACGATGCCCACTACTTCTCCCCTGGCGTCAAAAGAGAGACACAACCGTCAGGTATACGAAAAAGATATCAGTCATTCTATGCGGAACTTTCTCAATCCTTCCAATCACCGTTCCCTTTCCGCTCAATTCAATGGGCGGCAAAGTTGCGCGGACCTCAATCATTTCGTTAAGATATTAACCGCGAGCTTGAGGGTGCTGGAGTGGGAGGGGAATCTCGCCGGAGGATAAGTGCATAATGAGAAATCTCACAGAGCGCGGAGCATCTATGTCTACTGCTTCAACATGGTCATTTTGATTACTGTATACAGTATTGTACACTAATTTCAGTAAAGAACAGACCCTACTAAATGCATGCATTCTCCAAAAATAAGATCATATTTTCCTTTCAGTTCGAAAAAACAGACAAACAGCCGCGCGGAAGACCACACATGAAGCAAATGTGTTATGCTATGATGATTGCATATGGCAATGCAGTAATATATACAAATGACTTAACTTTTAACCTATCTAGGGAAAATCAGGGAATTGCCTGGTTAAGCTGGTCACGTAATGCATGCGAGTTTATCAATGGGTACGGTTGATTGGCATTGCTTCTGTGGTGAGATGCTTTTCAAGTTTTCATGGGCTATTTTTCGACCAGAATGTCTGTCCAATTTAATTTTTGTGCAAAGGATACTGTACTGTATTCCAGGTAGTGGTTACAGTTCTTGAGTTGCTATCATATTGACACAAGATACTGTGATGCACTTAAAGCTCTGTGATATAAAGAATGATCACCTCAATCTCCCGAGTAGACAAGTACTTCGAGTTATGTGCCTGTCTCGTGATCAGCCGCTGTGGCCGTGTTGCACGAATGTCAGTTGGCTTGAATCTCGCGACCGCAGTCGCGAATGCATCTGAAAGTTCGGCTTCATCTTCAATTGTTGACCATTCTTCGATTCTAATCAGAAAGCATTCTCTTTTTCAGTTTCCTTCGGTCTTCAGTGCCGCCCTCCGAACCGCGTTTCGAATTTTATATTCAACCAAACGTAATTCACCATGATTATCGATCTTCTCAACTCAGCGAAGCGCAATCCAATTCTGGGCCCTGTGTCTCCTTTCCGAACAGCTCGTTGCGATGGGTCAGCATCACCTCCTAGCAGTATGTTGAGCTGGCTGAACGTTTCAGCGCACCATGCTCCATATTCCTTTTCTTACAGATACCGTTGAATTCGGTTCCATGAAGTACTACGCCTATTGTGGGTTCGGAGGAGTTCTGAGCTGCGGTCTTACTCACACCGCTGTAGTGCCCCTGGATTTGGTCAAGTGTCGGCTTCAAGTAGATCCGGACAAGTACAAGAATATTTTCAATGGATTCAGGCTGACTGTCAAAGAGGACGGTTTTGTTGGTATGATTAAACCGGCAATTCATTTTTTTTTTTTTTACGGTAATCTTTTGACGTTTACTGTAGGCTTGTCGCGAGGATGGCTTCCAACCCTCATGGGATACTCTCTTCAGGGGCTCGGGAAGTTCGGGTTCTACGAGATGTTCAAGATAATGTATGGGAACTTGCTGGGCGAAGAAAACGCATACCAGTACCGTACAGCCCTATATTTGGCGTCGTCAGCCTCCGCAGAATTTTTTGCCGACATAGGTCTTTCGCCATTCGAAGCTATGAAGGTGTGTAAGCCCTTTCGGATTCCTCCGATGCTTCAATTCACAGGTTTATTTCGCAACTAATTCTGGGGATCAGGAGATTCAGCTTTCTTCGTAATGAATTCGCTCCCTTCGTTGTTGAATTTCTCAGCGATTCTCATCAATATTTCGGGCTTTATTCGCACAGGTGAGGATTCAAACGTCTCCAGGCTTTACCTCGTCGATGATGAAATGTGCCGCAATTATCTCGAAAGACGAAGGTTTAGGTGGATTTTACAAGGCTTTGGTACCTCTGTGGGGTCGTCAGATCCCATACACGATGATGAAGGCAAGTATAGACTCTCGACGTGTTCGTTCATCTTCTAACCACTGAAGTGTTATTCGTTATAGTTCGCATGCTTCGAGCGAACATTGGAGGCACTCTACATGTATGTCGTGCCAAAGCCGAGAGCAGAGTGCACGAAGGAAGAACAACTTGCAGTTACATTCACCGCTGGGTATATTGCGGGAGTGTTCTGCGCAATCGTATCTCACCCTGCGGACACCATTGTGTCCAAACTAAATCAAGACAAAGGATCTTCAGCCATGGATATTGCCAAACGACTTGGCTGGGCAGGTCAGTTCCACGGTTCACAAATTCAAAGTTTTATTGAAGTATTCTAGAGACGGCAACAACGCGGATGCCGCAATGAATTTCGTCAACTCCCGCTTTTCTTACCTGTCGGGAAAAGTTATTCGTTTTGATGCACAGTATTAAGGAAATCGCGTAACACTCTTCTGATGCTCCCAAAATGATCTTGCATCAAGAGCTATTTGACAAACTTTCTCGAACATTTTATCAATAAATAACTCGACCTAATTTCGTACCGCATTTCTAGCGGAGACCAATACCTTGTTTCTAGTCGATCTGAATCAATTTCTGATTGAAAATCACTGACTGCTTCTGACCACGTAACAAAACATGCTCTGCCCTAATTGACCTCACCTATTGTTCAACGCACCTGACTCAGTAAACGTATGCCAGAAATGATTTGACCCAGTTATTGCCCTTATCCTCAAGCTTCAACGAAACCATCTAATCACGTGATTTGAAAGTACTGTACATTACCGTACTTACGTGAGTGTAAGCACCTTTTTTCATATTTGAGAAGCTCAAAACCTTATGTGGTGCTTAAATTCACCTATTTATGCGATTTGCGTGAATATAAGCGCCTCACTTTCCAATCTTCAAGTCACAGGAGCGATGAAATTAAATATAAATACTTCGTCTTCAAAATGATGTGTGAACATGAATATTTATTATATATTATTCAAGTCATACGGCATCGACGTGAAGTATGCAGACAATGAATATCGTGTTCAGTATGTTCCAGATGGCCTTTGTTTATCTTCTCTTAACACAATCGATCTTTATCTGGGGAAAATCTAAATTTTGAAAGAAATTTTAGCTTCCGGTAAATTCAGAACGCGGAAAGTGGAATTTTTTATTCGCCGGTAATTTGGTGCCTGAAAAAATTAAGGATGGGGGTGCTTGTATTAGCGTGAACATGGTGATGTGATTCAATTATTTGTGGTTTTTTATCACAGGCATGTGGAAGGGTTTGGGCCCCAGGATTTTCATGATCGGTACCCTGACGGCGTTGCAATGGTTCATCTACGACGGCGTAAAAGTAGCCCTAGGAATTCCACGCCCGCCGCCGCCAACCATGCCGGAGTCTATGAGGAAGCGTTTAGAGGCCGAAGGGAAGGCTTGAGAAGTTTCGTATCACTGGCGAGCTGTGCAATCCTGTTTCATTTCCGGCACTTCGGTCATTCCTTCATCATTCCCATGCTATTCCGATGCTGCAATTCTTTTATTTTGTGGACCATGTTAGTGTGGGACGTTACTGAGATTGTGGGAAACAAAGTCCGATTATCCTGTGGAATCTCATTGTTCTCGTCTTCATTTCATCGTCTCGTCTTCGATTGCCTTTGTGAAAGTTCAACTGATATCCATCGTGTTCTCTTTTTTTCAGGAGGATCTGCTTTTTTTCGAATGTAAACTGTTCCTGAAAGCTGTTGCGCTTTTCGAATTGAGCCATGTTGTGGTCACGTGATGTTTGTGCTAATTTCCTGAATTGAAGCTCTGACGAAGGAGATTAGGTCGACCCACCGATTATTCACGAGACCGTCGTCTAATGTAGTTCCTCGGAGCCCTCATCTTTAAGCATCGGGTTCCAGAAACGCATTTTATTAATATTCGAAAACAAAACAAAAACTTATTGAGACTAATCTTATCGAAAAGAATGTAATTTTTTCTGGGAAACTGTTTATGACGCTGTTCCCAGAACACCCTAGGGCCTAGACAACCTATTTGATTAAAAGTCAAGGTCTCAAAAAATGAGGGTTTTGAACTGCAAAAAGACGAATTCAATTTGGATGGCAGTTTTTCGACTTCCATCGTGGAAATCGTTATGGAAAAGGAGTAGATTTTATAAGGGCTTCTTCGTAGAAATTTATTCAAGGCATGAATGACTCGAAAAGTTTAGAGCACCTATGAATCAATCCCTCCGCTTCAAAATATGTGCCCCATTATCTGCACGTATCCTATTTGAAGGATTTTAAGTAACTGCGCGTAATTCTAATTTTTTTTTTTTTTACTTCGGTCTGGGATTTGGAATAACTTAGCGAGGCTGTTGATCTGGTGAAGGTGGACTCTCTTCAATTAATTTTTTTTTTCGGTCACATGGGGTTCTCTCTCCATTTCATAGGTGTTCTTTACCAAGAAATATCTCTACCATACATTTTTATTTTGTCCCTGGAATATCGGTTGAGAGTCCACTTGTATGGACGAATTTATGTTCGGTGTACAAACCTCGAAGTATTCTTTCAGCTTCTGAATTATTTTTCAGAAACCTGGTGTTCATTGTCTTGAGTATATTGAAAACCCGTATCTCTGGTTCCAGATTTCGAAATATGGAAGTAAACTGCGTGAACTCGGACGAGTCCAAAGCCGTCGCTGACGCAAGCATAGTTGAATACGCGAAGCAATTGAACACGAAACTTTTAGAAGCTGCTCGCATTCTCTCCGGTCTTGTGAAAGGTGTACTGGAAGAAACGGACTCAGCGGTGTTAGGTGTTCCCGAGAATGCGAAATGGATGACCCTACAATCGGAGAAGCCGGAATTAGTGAACAGCGTTTATTTCTCTTTCGACGATGGGTTTTATCAACCCAATCTTCCTCATGTCCAGGAGCTGAAAGTTTCTGATCAGTTACCGTGTGAGTGTTCCCAGGTGAACGAGTTTAAGCTAGTGATACATGAGAGGATTCATTCCCAGGTACTTTATCATTACTGCAGTAAAAATTGCTCATGAAATCATGGTACAGTTGGGCCCCAAAAGGAATTCATTCTATAGAAATGGAGAAAAAAAAGTATCAACATTTTGATACCTCTTGAATCAATTCGGCTTTTTATATTCACATGAATAAAGAATAGTACAAATTTCTTCCAATTCTTAAAAACCATAATCCGAAAGGGGCGAATTTTGTGCTTCATTTTTTCGGAGTTCTTTCCCGTGATCTTTGCATAGTATAGCTAAATTTGTGCTTGTTCTGCTTTTTGGGCTCTTTCTCACGACGAAAGAACAGATTCTGTGTAGTTTTCTTTCTGTGAAATTATTTTCTGCATCTTAAAAAACAATTTTATTCAATTTTAGGGTTTTTTTCCTAGTTTTTGATAGATAAGAGAAGTAATTATGTTCCATGCAACTTTATGGGAAAGTCTGATCCAACATGTGGACACTATGACATGGAAACAAGGTTCTAACACAAATTTTGTCCGCATCTTGGGGCCCCACAGTACAACAGCGAAAATTCAGTGGGTATATCTTTTCCAAAATGTTAATGGGAGAAGCATTGCAAATTTTCTGTTAATTTTCTTCATATTTAATTTTCATGTTTTGCGTAAGGAATTGCTACCTTAAAATTCATAGAGCTAATTTTCCTTCTTCACCCAATGTGCCCGGGTATTAAAAAATGTGCACGTGCGTTTAATCTTGTTATAGGGTCAACGATTCGCACATCGCAGCTTTTGCGCTGGGTCGACGAGGATCGTGCGGATGCGCTTCTAGAACACCTTGAAGTCCGAATCGAGAGCTCAGCAAAAAAGCCTGAAGAACTCCAGCGTTGTCTGAAAGCGTGGAAAAGCCTGAATGAATCAATTCAATTGAAGCGGTTTTCGGACATTTCCGAAAGGATCCTCGCGTCGGGCTACGTTCTCAGAAAGATCGACTGGCTGAAAATCTCCAATAAAGTAGGTCACTCTTGCGAGATCTGTATACTGTATAGGGATCAGGTGTTATGGCTTATCGGGTGAATTTTTTTTTTGGGCACAGTTTGGAGGGAAATTCAGTGATGTCGAGTGCGAACTCAAGTGGCGCGAATTGAAAGGACGTGATTTGAAAGTAGGGAATACTTGGACGCTGAAAGAAGATCAGCGAGTGCGTGACATGGTGAAAGTGAGTGCATTTAAATTTTCCGGAAGCTGTATTATTATTTTATTTTTTTTAAATGAATCTCTTTTAAACAGGGAGCTGCGTTTCGTATGCTCTCTGGATTAGGTTGCCATGTGTGCATGCAGAGATTCATTTTTATTTCACGTTATTGTTTATTTCTCTTGCTCACAGTTTCCATCCATCAACTGTCTTACATAATTATTTCTCGTAACATCGGAATTTATGCGTGTATCGAAAAGTAAAAGCAAGTCAGTGAGCCTTTTGAAAGTTAGAAAAACGACGTTAGTATCAAACTACATTGGGGCCCTGAAATGCGGACTTGATTGATTCCTGGACCTTGTCCGCTTGTCAGAACTTTCTCGTATCGGATCACGTTTTCCCATAGACTTGCATTGAAACATATTCAATTGGTTCTCCTTACAATCGAAAATTTGGAAAAATTCCCTCAAAAAATTTAATGAAACGGGTTTTCTCAACTTCAATACACAGAAAATAACCGCGCAGAAGAAAGCCATGCAGAATCTGACGAGGAGTCCACATAGCATAAAAAATTAGTAGATTAAAAAATTAATCTAAAAAACCACGTTTTCAAAAAGCAAAAAATAACCTTAAACGTGGTGCGCATCTATTTCATTTGCATTTCACTTCTTCC